CAAGAAGAGGAGGTGAGAGGCTTTGAAGCAGAAAGAGATTATTTCTGGGCAAGAAGTCATCTGAAAGAATCCAACAGTCTATGATCAATTATGATCAGCTGCTGGAGCAACCAGAGACAAACCCTAAACCCTTGTGAGTATTTCCTCCCATGCTTATGTTCCAGGCCACACTAGTCACAACAGTGCAATGCTGGAGCCACCAGAAAGCAAAGGTTGCCATCCAGCAAGCCAGAGAATAGGGCATGAGCAGGAATGCTCGGAATAGTAAGCTGTCCCTCAGCAGCAGCTGGAGAAACACTTTCCCAGCAATTTAGGAATTCTGTGTCCTGTCTGTTTTCATGCAGCAACCAATCCCCATCAGTCTTGTCTGAAAAAGCTAATCACGGTGCAAAGTTTGTCCTACCATCACCCCTTTTCTGAATTCGTTCTTTCGAAGTGGGAAGGAAGATGACGACTTTTGGTCAGTAACTCTGACAAAGCCATTATCCTAGGGGTATTAAATGGGGAGATAAGAACTTCAGGGCTTTGCACAAATCACATTAGTTCAATTCTCAAATCCGGGTAATGCTTCTTTTCAAAGTATTAATTTCATTTATTCTATTTGCTCTCCCTCTGTCCTGATAACACAGGCACACATGGCCCCTAAATGAGATCCTCCTATTTTATAAGTTATAATCCTCCCTTTCTAGAGTAGTAATGAGATGTCTTTGCTTAATTGCATTTATTCCCCCCCAGCTTCTGCTTTTCTCCATCCCCATTCCACATTGATTTGTCTCAAAGGTTTCAGTGAAAACCATCAGGCAGGGAGTCACTGGCTCCAAGAGGCTCATGATGCATATGCTGCACATGCTGCACAGCCTTAGGAGATTACAAAAGCAGAAAGGAAAAAAAAAGAGCAGCTTTGCTTGCAAAGTTTCTTTTGTTGGTAGGAAGGAGGAAAAAAGAAAGCCAAATGAACTGAGAAGTTGAGAGGAGAGGTTTTGATTAATTGGAAATGAAGAAGGAAAGACTCCTGGTACAGGGGAAAGGCGAGACTATTCACAACACCGTGAAGCAATTAAGTAACTTGACTATGGCAACTTTGGAAATTCCGCATGCTAGAAATAAAAAAGGATTTACAGATATAGCTGTGTTAATTCTTGGATATTTCACATGAAACTTAAGGCATGCTACAAGCATTAGTTAAACACCTTAGGCCCTGCTGTGAAGTACTGTACGTATAAACCTTGTTGTATTATAAGTACCCACAGCATTAAATTATTCAGAGTCCAGTCAGCACCACGATCCTGCAGTGCTGTACAAACAAACAAAACATTTTATCTCTAATACAAATTGGTGAGAGTTCTTCTGCAGCTTAGCAGACTACTTCCATTTGAGCCAGTCCCCCATGGTTAATCAAAAGCCATATTCACTCAAAGGAGGAAGTGAATGCTGCAGTGTTTCTACTTAGAGCTGTTTTGCTTCTTAAACTAAAACTTTAAGGAATTTTACTCAAAACCTAAGACATCTAGAAGCTAAGTACCTTGTTCAAAGTCATAAAAAAAAAAAAAAGATCAAGACCAAAAAAAAAAAAGTAGAACAGGACGCAGGTACTTAACTCTAAATCCCCCTGGTAACCAGTGCACCACTTCAAGAAAGAAAAACACCAAACCACACAAACAACAAACAAAACAGTAAGTTTTAATGTGCACTCTACCCCATAAATGATGAAGTAACTGGCCCCAGAAGCTGACAGCAAGTTCCCTATCAAAAGTTAGCTCTAGTCCACACTCTCTTCAGGAATGTACACTATGTAAGACTAAAGAAGTGCTTCATAGCAATACTGCCAGTAATGAAAGTCAGTGAATTAAAATCATAAAGAACAGATTAAATGACAAGCGATGTTCAGCACAGTCAAAATGAAATAATTTCAAAGTACAGCTATCATATTTGAATTTATGGTCTACAAGTGGTAAGGTTAAAAGAGAGTATTGCAGCACTACTGGAGACAACTGTACAAAAGAAGGCTACTAACCAAACTCTTGATATGTTAAGGGTACAGGGCAGCTCAAGATCTTACTGCAAATATTTAAAATAAATAAAACAAACCTTTCTAATGATACATGGCATGATTTCCAATTTTTACTATATTAAGAAATCAATAATTTGCTTCTAGCAGCAATTCTTTCATGGGAGTTGCCCCATTTTTCTCTGGCTTCCCTAGTAGGCAGCAACAACAACGACCACCACCAACAACAACCCTGGAAGTTGTTCCGTTATAAATTTAAAGCAGACAATTTCCAGTGCCATCTGCACCTGGACTACCAGTAGGTACCTACAGTTCCACTACTATCTTCTCTTTTAGGTAGAAGACCGACACAGAAGAGACGAAAGAGCAGCTCATGCCCAGTATTTGCCTCATATGCTAGGGATAAAAAGCCCAAGAGTGAGGAAGAAACATTCAAGCCCTATTCCAAATAAAGGAAGAAAACAATACTGGAAGACAAAGGACAGATATGATTTGAGTAGGATTGAGTCAATACAATAAGGTAACCGTGCTCAAACGGAAACTGTAGCTGAGATAAAGCAAGTCTGATAGGGATCCCAATAACTTAAAAGGCTGGCAAAAAGAGTCCCTGCTTAGGAAGACATCTAGAAGCCGACAGACAATAGCTTTGACCTCATCTTTGCAAGGCCAGATTAGACTATTCCATTTTTAAGGATCTTAAATTTATGACTGATCAAGAGATAGTTAAAGAGCAATGAAATTTAACAGTTTCTCATTCTTGCACCACGTTCTGGGCTAACACTCCATGGTCACTATTTATCTTTTATGGGTTACACAAGGAGAGCCGTATCAGATTTTTGCAGAGCATCAAGTATGCAGTATCTGGGTAGGCGACATTGCAGGATCAAAAGCTAATTCAGGTAATGGAACAGCTTTTGTATGTTAGAGGTTAGGTCCCAACTCATTTTAGAGATGCCTTCTTTACACTACACAAATATTGCCTGACTCTGCTAGTGACATTTCTGCAGGATTACTCTACACCTCACTGCAGGAGGGCAGGGTTCTACTTCTGAGCTGGGCCATGTCTTTAGATTGGACTATAAATCCACTAGCTTCTCCCCTGGCTCTTTACAGAAGTCTGTTAATTGTATTCATAAAGAGAAGATTCTCTTTCTCGTGGAAGAAGAGTTAATACTGCATCTGCTGACCCAGATGTCCTACGCAGAGGAATGGCAGTGACCTGCCTCAGACATTGCTATTCTAATGCTCAGCAATCACACAACTTCCCGTGGTTAGGGTACCATCTGCCAAGAGGTAATTTCCAACGACACAGCAGCCATTCACAAGCTATATCCAGGGGAGCAATCTCAGAGACCTACCAATCCAACCACACAGAAACATTATCATGGAGTCAGAAAACACAAAAGGGTCCAAACACACAAACAGACAAATTCATGGAAGACAATTTCATTAAGGACTGTTAACCACCAGGGTGAAAATACAACCTCTTGCTGAAAAAGCCTCTCAGCCCCAGAACAGCAGACATTGCAACGGCATACAGGTGGGAAAGGCTGCTATACACCTGCCTTGTTCTCATGCTCTCCATAAGCAGCTGCTACGGATCACTATCAGAGGTGGGCTACAGCTAGAAGGACCTTCTGTCTGAAGGCCATTCTTATATAAACTTTATTTATTCAGCCCCCCCAAAATGCCTTCATATTATAACCTTAGAATGCTTCACAGCCAAGTCATGTGCCCGGGTAAGCCATGCCTGTTAGCATTCAACACATAGAAAAACACACACTCATAGATCTAAATGAAGACTCCTTCAAGTGCATGCAACAGATCAGCAACATGGAAGAAACACAACAAAGACCATCATTACTCAAGTCTGTCCTCTCCCTAAACCACCTTTTCAGTATGTACTAGGCAAGGAGAATTATGCTTAGTCTAGTTCTCTCAAAGTTTCAACACCACAGTCTAAATGACTGGGCAGTTCCATCTCACTGTGGCAAGCATAGTCCCACCTCACTGTCACGTGCTGACACCTCACACCACTGCAGGTCAGGAAAAACTGGCCGTTCCAATAAGACTCTGCATTGCTTACAGGCAGTATGGCATTGCCATATTAATGTTAATATTTAAAAGAAAACAACATAAAATAGTATCATGTGAGTATTAAGCACCAATGACAACCTCAGTCTGCTGTAGTGGTATAAGCCTTTTGCCCTACTCTATCTCATCTCACTGTACTTCTGCCTCCATCACTGCTCTTCTCAGCACTGGTATGACAATAACCCAATGGGTTATCGCAGCAACACCAAGGTGCCTGACTAATAGTAAAGGCTGCTGCAAGAAGCCCTCCAAAATAAGTCTGCCTACTAGGCAAGAACAGATTCGTCTGGGAGTCAGTGGTGTGTATAAAAGAGGTTTATGCTTCATGGTCCTTAAAAAACAATCTTAAGCCTTCTTTAAAATATTACAATACTTAACAGTTTTATAACAGTTCTTCCGTTACCAGCATCATAAAAGACTCAAACAACAGAAGTTGTTATTACTTTTTATTATTTTGGGTATTTGAACAATTATACTCTAGAAAAACAGAGAAAAGTTTCAGGATAGATCAGGTCAGCAGAATCTGATCCTGTATATATTGAAACATTTATTTCACACATTTGATAATTTAAGAGAGTTCCTTCTAGCTCAGACAAACGACCCCATATACACACACCGGAGTGACCTGCCTCAGGTAAACCCGTCCCCAGCACAGTCATTGCTTATGTCTTGCCCTGCAAGCTTGGCCTTAGCATCACTCTGCATGACATGCTGCAAGTGTGGCTTGCCAAATACACTGTAAGCCAAACGTTAAGTGATGAATTTGGAGGTGATGAGTGTTTCAGCCTAAAACAAAGTTTCTAAGCTCATCACACAAGTGACACTTAATGAATTCCCTCAAACAAAGGTATTTTAGCCTGTCGTGCCTGCAAACAGACTGGGGTTTTTTGTTACTCACCAGCTGGGCCACTCTCTGCCTCTCTTCGTTAGTGTTGTTCCTTTCCCGCTGAAGGGCAGTATTCAAGGCCTCGCTGGCTGCTTCCCGTTCTCTTTTGGCCAGCCGGAGCAACTCCTCCTGGACCAGTGCCTGTTCTCGCTCATACCTGTATAAGCGCCAGAGGCAAACAAGAGAGAAGGTGATGAGCAGACTTCTGGCAACAGGGTCATGGCTTAGCATGGACTACCCCTGCCTAGAGCCAAAACAAAAATCTGTAATCTATTTGACACAAAGTCTGCTTGCAGCCCCTCTGTTATCGGCAGGAATTCAAGAGTCCAACAAACTTTAAACATGACCTGCAACTTCAGTGAGGTACAGCTCTGGCAACAACAATAGACCACATAAGCTTATACTTCAGTTATATTTAGCTCTACTTCATTATCACCTGAAACAGTGAGAATAGAAAGTTGTTAGATAAATAAATAAATACTGCTTTGGAAAACATGACGCGACATACAACGATAAAAGGAGTTAGTCTGTCTGACAATGATGCTTTTCTGCCCTACAAGGCAAAGAAAAATCACATAAAACGCATGCAGCAACAGCACTGAAAGAAGTAGCCTTGTCACATCCATAGCCTGGACACCTGAATCTCAGACTACCATGAAGGAAATTTTGTCCAACTCAAGCCTTGGAAATTCCACATGCAAGCAAAGAGAGATTACCATGAAGTGAATCACAGAATAAATCAAGTTAGACAGGACCTTTGAAGGTTATCTATTCCAGTCTCCTGCACAAAACAGAACTAAATTCAAGGTTAGATTCAGGTCACTCAGGGCCTTCTCCAGTCAACTTCTGTCTCCAAGGGTGGATATTCTATATCCTTTCGGTGCAACCTGTTCCAGTGCTTCACTGCACTCACTGACTGGGGTTTCCTCCTCAACCCCCAACACCCAGGCTGAATTTCCTTGCTGTGATGTGTGTTCCTTGCCTCTTGTCCTTTCAGTGTGCACCTCTGAAAACAGTCTGACACTGTCGCTATTTTAGGAAGTTGAAAACAATAATTACATCCCCCTTCTTTGCCAGGCAATGCAGTTCCCTCAGGCTCTCCTCTCCTGTGCCTCTAGCTTGCCAAGGTCCCGCTGAGTGGCAATGCTGCCCTCCAGCACAGTGACCAATCCTTCAGTTTGGTGTCATCCACTAACTTTCTCAGGCACATTTCAGCCCACCCAGGCCTGGTCTGGTTCCACAGTTGAGCCACACACATACAAGCTGCTCCTCCCTTTCTTGTCTTCCCTGCCTACAGTTCCACTGCATTTCTGCCCCTAACCACTCCTTTCCCAGATCAGGTATTTGGGATGCAGTTCAGTAGCTCAGCACTGAAAACTGCCAACAGTTTTGCTTCCACAGTCCCCAAGAAAGTAAACTAGCTTTCCAGAGACTTTCCTTGGTTGCATCTCCGACTTTCGCAAAGACAGCATGATTGATGCAACAGGGTTTTAACAGGTTTTGGTCAGTTGCAATACTCAAAAAACACCATGCATACAGAGACTGACTTCATTGTTACCTAGACTGAAAGCACAGCAAAGACACCATCAGAGCAGCAAAAGAAAGAATAGGGAAAACTTTAAGAATGCACAGACAGACCAGGCCAGCAGTTTTGTAACAGAAAGATACTGAGTTACACAGATCTGAAGCTCTCACTGCCCTGCAATGCCTAGAACTAGGAGAAGACTGCTATGGTTCTGTGAGAGAAGACAACAATTTTTTTTCTGCATTTTTTTTCCCCTCACCCTTACCCCTATCTTTACAGGTATTTCTATCTTAATAGATTGAAATACCCTTGGATGAAAAATTCGTAACACTACTGCTGGCTGACAGGCATTATGTCCAGTCTAGGAAAAGGAAGAGAAATGGAATCAGATACATGACACATTTGATTATTTTAGGTATAAACTGAATTAAACCTATGAACATGTTTGAGATTCCAAAATCCCTAAGGGAAGTATCAAATACAGACTCCTTCACTTGTCCCAGAAAAGGCAACTGGACTCAAGTTTATGCTCTACTGGTCTTGCAATGCACATCACACACAAGTTTTCTGTAGTTACCAACTCATTACACTGGTCCTCCCCGTTTCTGCAAACGCCACTCCAATGCCCACAGCTCCCCTGACTGCTCCTTTTGGCTAAGGGACAGACGTCCTTAAAAAAATGTGTTCCATGGCCCTTAACTGAAAAAGACTTCAAAGGGGATTCTCAGGCTTTAAAACATGTAGTCATTGAGCTTGGACTTAAGTAAAGCATATACATATATATATATATTTTCCAAAGGGAGATAAACTATTGTCTTTTTCCAGAACTTCACCTCACCTCCTGTACAGTTCCTCCTCTGCAGCAGAAGACTTCTGACCAGAGTCACTTGCCATTGGTGGCTGGATTCCTAGAAAGAATAAAAAAACCTGTAACAACTATAGTACAAAACATAGTCCTTCACGACATCATAAATTATTTGAGAAAAGGAGAATTTCATATGTGAGTGTTATTCCATCAAAAGAAAAAAAAAAAAACAATACACCTTGAAAAGTCTCAAGAGAATTTAAGTTTGATGGACAGAGTTTGAATTCATGAAATAGAGAGACACTGACAGCATCGTCTTCAACAAGGCACGCTACAGAAACTTCTAGGTAAGGATGTTAACTCCTCAAACCCTGGTTTATACTAAAACATCAGCATGGTTTTAGACCCACTTTCCATTTCCTTCCCCTAGTTCCATTAAGTTCCCCTTGACCTCCTGCTTTCCTTGTAATTACATGGGACCCCACAAGTGGAGATGAAATTATTTGATGGAGTTCAGGCCATCCATAAAGCTGAATTCACTTTCAGGAAAAATGTAGGCTAACAGCAAACAAATCTCTAAAAGCAAAGGCCTGGTTCCCTAAATTCATGTTAGTCTGGATGCCTTGAACAAATCCACACTGGTAACATATATCAACAAAGTGTATTTGAGAACCAAGAGAAATCAAATAGTTTTCTGACCTGTAAAGAAAGGCAAGTTCAGAAACCAAGCTGTCATCATCCCCTAGGCAAGCTGTGCTTAGTCAGTCTATCCTTCCCTATGAGCTTATTTCCAAAGAACAAAAAGCAGTATTTCCTCTCCCTATCCACAATATGCCCCCTTTGCATGCACAGGGAGTAACAGGGCAGCTTGCCAGGAATTGAAAATAAAATAAAAAATTTCTGCCTGGCTTATTGTATGTTCATTTGAAATCCTAGAAATGTTCACAAAGTGATACAAGTCCATTGAAGTATCTGAAAAGGGTGGTAGTCCAAAGATGGTGAAGGAAAGGACCTAGAAAAACAAGCTGACTTACTTAATGTCACACAGTGACAGAACCAGAACCATAGCATTTCAACTGCTACAACTGCCAGATGAAACAGCTACCATTCAGAAACATAAAGATGACATCGCAGGACTGTAACATCCAAGGCATTCAATGATGCCAATATCTACATACATAAAAGTGTTACAGGCTAATCAAAGAGCTCCTCTCACAACAAGATAGTCTTGAAAAACAGTCAAAAACAGGCATAAAACATAACATTCCCAGTGGCAGCACTACTGGGAAGTGTGTCAAAACAGTCAATAGACCTGATAGGACTGACAGTACCTGTAGGAGATTTGGGTTTCCCTTCTGCAGCTGGTGAAGATGGAGCTGTGCCGTTGGATGAATGGCATGATCTCTGGTTGTCCCTTTTACTTTGAGGAGATTCTTTCATTCTGTTCACTACATCTTCAGAGAGCTGAAACGTGCACACAGGAAAGAAATTAACCAAATCAACTCTTAATGTATATATACTTCACTATAAAAGCTCCCCGTTTGCTAGTTTCCAAGCTACTGCAAAAGTATTGCCAATTACCTCATTTCAACACCACAGTCCTTCGAATGCAGCTGGTCAACAACTGTATACTGAGTTTTAAAAAAAAACATACCCTATCAGTAAGTGATAAAAGGTCCAATCTGCTGACCCTAAAGGCTTCAATAAACAACAATTAATCTTCCACAAATACTGACAAAGGTGGAGAGCACTGCTAAACAAGCCAATCCCTTGAGTAGGGACACATTTACTAAAAGTGGAAGGAAAGAAACTAACCAGGCTGTAAGTCCGTCCATCCACCCTTATTCCTCTTCCCCTATGCTTGCTAACCCAGCTCAGCACAGCAGAAGTACTACAAACCATTTAGCAGAGGACAGCTGCACAGCTCGCCCATTCACATAAGGCTGCAAACATTTTTGCAATCTTGACTTCATTCTCACTCCCTTACTTGGGTCCAAATCCATGGAAAAGAAAAGTTAACTTGAAGTTTTCTGGCAATTCAGTCCAAGGGGCTTCTCACAGCACAGGCAAGATTGACCCTTTCCTCCTCCCAAGGCCAGAGGTTCTGTGCTGACTGTTCTGGCTCCAGAACAAAATGAAATGAGGCTGTTTCCCCACCTAGGCTGGTCTACATCAGTAGAAGATGCATTTTCAGCTATGCCACTTCTACCCAATTTAACAGTATTTTTAACATCTTCATTATACACTGATATCATGCCAAATTCCTGTTTGTGGGAACTAGTTTTTAAAAACACAAACCTGTGAAAAGCCAGACTTAATTAAGGGAAAGCTCAGTGGAACCACTTTTACATACATAGCTGCAAAAAACCAAAACAAATAATGTCCTTGGTACTAAGAACAGAGAATGATTATTTTGTTTCACAAAACAAGCAAACAGAAAAAAAAGGAAGAGAAAAACTTTTACTTCAGGAAGTCAAATAGAAAGGTCTACAAAGACCACAGCTCATTTAACCTAATGAGCTATCATGAGATACATAAGGCATCTTCATCTTGAGCTCCCAGAAATTATAAGCAGACCAGTAACAATGAACCCACACTTTTCTCTCGTTCCATCAGCATCTAGCTGACAGCATCTAGTTAATGGAGGAGCTACCTAAATTACAGCACCAGAACAAATTACATCTATGGTAGGTGAGGGTGAAGCCTCAAGGGGTCCCTGCCTATATCCTGGAAAAAGAAATCAGGCAAGAACAACTTTACCACCACCAAACACTTTAAAAAAGATCGGCACAATCTTAGTTAACTTTTGTCAAGTGATTAGTCAAAACGGCATGAAAAATAACTAAACACAGCAAAACACATTCTGCAAACTCATTTCAGACAAATCTTAGGGAAAAAACAGTTAAAAGTATGAAGAAGCAAGAGAAGTGAAAATCATGGCAGTAATAAAAGAAAAACCACCCAAAACTTAAATAACCAATGAAAAATAGGGAGAGAAATCTTGAGGGGGGGAGGGGGGGAGTTCCCTAATGATACTACCACCACTCTCCACGGTTGTTTTCACAACACATACACATAGATGTCCGATCAAAGTTCAAGAAGCAGCTTCCCACTGCCTCTCCTAGATACACCCCTAATCCTCACTAATCCCCACAATCTCCCTGCATGTTCAGACAGCAGTGCTTTGCCAAGGCTCTTGTTATCATTAATAAGGGCAGAGGTGTCTCCACCCGGATGCCCTCAGAGCCAGGCAGTGCCTTCAGCATCAAACTGCTTGCAAAGCACAAGGCAGGGGCAAGATGGGGTCATTAAGCAGTGAGGAGGG